CAATAATCATAGCCGACACGCTGCTGGTAGGTAGATGAATAATTAAATTATTAAGAAATTAATTAATATGGATAATATGAATAAATGAATAAATTTTGTCCTTTAAAAACCACACATAAAATACAATGAGGAAAACCTCACCAACCAGATATGAACAGCACTAACTGGTGGTTAAACGAGAGTGTGAATTTTAACGTCATCATTAAGGCCTCTAGGAGACAAGGTGCCCAATGTGAAAATCCAAAAGCTTTCCCTTCTGCATAGCTCTTGGTGTCTCCTCCCACTATCCAAATCTTTAGAGATGGCCTCAATCCCAAGGACTTTCATACCGCAGTGATTACTCAAATGCTTTTTTTTAAAATGGCGGGGGACTGAGTATTTGTCTTTCCCTAGTTTAATGCTGCTTTTATGTTCACTAATACGTATTCTCAGGCAACGCGAGGTACGGCCTACATATAATAAGCCGCATGGACAAAGTATGCCATAGATGACAAAGGAGGCCCCACAATTTATAAAACTGTTTCATGGGAAAGCTTTTCCTGTCAGTGCTTGTAAAATCTCATTTCCGATGGCATATGACTCCACAGGTACCACAGTTGGGGATGCCACACCTATAGCTTCCCTTTTGGTCAAATAGCGCTGACCACGGGCCCGGGTTGAATATCCCAGTTTTGCGTACCCTACTTGGCGCTAGTAGACTCCTAAGGTCTCTAGGTTTTCTGAATATTAATGTCGTTCTATCTGGGAGTGCATTTCCTAGAGTAGGATCGTTTTTTAGGATGTTCCAATTTTTGGACAGAATGTGTTTTATGTCCCAGGCTTTGTTGCTGAAAACTAGTGCAAAAACGTACTTCATTCTTGTTGAAAGTGACAGTAGAGTTCTGGGAGTTAGGCTCAATTGCCGTGTCATTAGAGACTATGGAATCATACATAACTAGATATTTGTTGAAAGCTGTTTCTATGTGGTTTTCATTGTACCCTTTCTCCTTGAATTTTTTTTTAAGAATCAGACTCTGTTCAATGTAGTCCTGTTTAAGCGTGCATGTGCGTTTATGCCTGCAGAACTGTCCAAAAGGAACATTTTGGATCCATTGGGGATGGTGGTTGCTCTTAGCATGTAGGTAAGAGTTGCCCGCTGTTGGTTTAAAGTGTGTTTTAGAGCATATCTGACCATTACTGTCACATCTAAGTTCTAGATCTAGAAATACTAAGGTGTCATTGTCAATCACATGAGTGAATGAGATGTTATATGGGTTGTTCCCACAGTGTTCTAGGAATCCATCTAGTTCTGAGGCAGTGCCATTCCAGATGATAATGATGTCATCTATATATCTCCCATATAGGACTAGGTTAGCACTGAAGGGATTATTAGTCCAAATGTAATTGTTTTCCCAAAATCCCATAAAGATGTTTGCATAGCTGGGGGCGAATCATGCGCCCATAGCTGTGCCCTGGATCTGGCGATAATGTTTGTCCAAAAAGGAAAAGTGTTCTAGAACAAATTCAATGCAATTAAATAAAAATTAAATTTGAGTATGGTGAAGTGGAGAATCTTTGGCCAAGAAATGCTGAATGGCTTGGAGGCCGTGATCATGTTTGATAGTTGTATACAATGATACCACATCCAGGGATAACCATCTGTATCCCTGCTCCCACTTATATCCTGCTAATATATCCAGTATGTGGCTGGAGTCTTTGACATACGATGAAAGATTAGTCACTATTTCTACATGGCAAATAATTTACTGGCAGGTGTAGTAGAGTAATAGAAATCCAACAGACCCAACAGTCATGACGTGCATACTGCTGATTCTGTGTAATTGAATCACTAATTGAAAGGGGCATGTTAAAAATATTAGCAGTGTGGAGTTCTATTAGTGAGGTCATTCATTCTTTGAAAAACAGGTGGCAATTATTGCCATTATTTAAGGAAGGAAGGCAGCAAATGTTGTACATGCTGGTTACAGTGCATTTCTCTCTGAAATTCTGAGGAAAATGGGTCGTTCCAGACATTGTTCAGAAGAACAGCGTACCTTGATTAAAAAAAGTTGACTGGAGAGGGGAAAACATAAAGAAGTGCAGAAATGATAGGTTGTTCAGCTAAAACGATCGCAAATGCTTTAAGATGGCAACCAAAACCTCAAAGACGTGGAAGAAAGCGAAAAAACTACCATTCGAATGGATAGAAGAGTAGCCAAAATGGCAAAAAAGGCCAACAAACAGCTCCAGGAAGATCAAAGAAGGTCTAAAGTTACCTGTGAGTACTGTTACAATTAGAAGACACCTATGTGAAGCCTAGCTATCTGCAAGAAGCCCCCACAAAGTCCCACTGTTGAAAAAAAGACATGCTGAAGAGGTTACAATTTGCAAAAGAGCACATTGACTGGCCTAAAGAGAAATGGCACAACATTTTGTGGACTGATGAAAGTAAGATTTTTCTTTTTGGGTCTAGTGGCCGGAGACAGTTTGTCAGACGACCCCCAAACACTGAATTCAAGCCACAGTACACTGTGAAGACAGTGAAGCATGGTTGCGCATGCATCATGATATGGGGATGTTTCTCATACTACGGTGTTGGGCCTATTTATTGCATACCAGGGATCATGGATCAGTTTGAATACATCAGAATACTTGAAGAGGTCATGCTGCCTTGTGCTGAAGAGGAAATGCCCTTGAAATGGGTGTTGAAACAAGACAACGACCCCAAACACACCAGTAAACGTGCAACATCTTGGTTCCAGACCAACAAGATTGATGTTATGGAGTGGCCAGCCCAATCCCCGGATCTTAATCCAATAGAAAACTTGTGGGGTGACATCAAAAATGCAGTTTCTGAGGCAAAACCAAGAAATAGAGAAGAACTGTGGAATGTAGTCCAATCATCCTGGGCTGGAATACCTGTTCACAGGTGCCAGAAGTTGGTTGCCTCCATGCAAACACAGATGTACAGCAGTTCTCAGAAACAGTGTGTCAGGGCTCCCAGGTATGACCAGAGGTGTGTGACTGGAAGCAGGGAAACGCAGACCTCAGATATGTTATAAAAACAATATAATTTATTAACACTAACAGTACAAACATAAACGCAGTGCAATACTAAAACATAATACGGTGCAAACAAACCACCAAAAAACCACCCACAGATAACAGTATATACAAGCAAGCGTCGTCAGGCAGGCCGGGTCAATATCAATTGGGCAGGTAGGTACAGGGGGAGCAAGCGGAGAATGGTCGGGGTCACAGGCCAGGTTCAGCAGGTAGCAAGCAGCATAGTACAGAGGGTCAGGCAGAGGGATGGTCCGGGTCACAAGCCAGGGATCAGAACAGGTAGCAAGCAGCGTAGTACAGAGGGTCAGACAGAGGGATGGTCAGGGTCACAAGCCAGGATCAGAGCAGGAGAAGTCAGCAAAGGAACAGAAAACAGGATGCAGGACAGATACAGGGCCCAGGACAAACACAACACCAAGGCAGAGTCTGCAAGTCTGGCCATCCCTTAAATACCCCAGTATCATCAGTTCCAGGTGTTAGCTGGCTGAAAGGTTGAGTCTCTGATTGCTGGGAGCACCCGCTGGCCAGCCCTGGTACTGCAGATCAAAAGGCAGGTGAGTCCCACCATTGCTGGCCAGTCCATTCCTAACAGTACCCCCCCCTCAAGGAGCGGCCTCAGGACGCTCCAAAACAGTCCTAGCTGGGCAAAATGTTCCACCGCCCGGGTCTGGCAACTGGCGGGTTATCAAAGACTGGCACACCGGGCAGGACTCCGGGCAGCGGCACACCGGGCTGGACTCCGGGCAGAGGCACACCGAGCAGAGGCACACCGGGCAGAGGCACACCGAGCAGAGGCACACGGGCAGAGGCACACCCGGGCAGAGGCACATCGGGCAGAGGCACATCGGGCAGGACTCCGGGCAGAGGCACATCGAGCAGAGGCACACCGGGCAGAGGCACACCGGGCAGAGGCACATCGGGCAGGACTCCGGGCAGAGGCACATCGGGCAGGACTCCGGGCAGAGGCACATCGGGCAGGACTCCGGGCAGAGGCACATCGGGCAGGACTCGGGCAGAGGCACATCGGGCAGGATTCCGGGCAGAGGCACATCGGGCAGGACTCCGGCAGAGGCACATCGGACTACCAGGCGAAGCAGCAGGCAAGCGGGCCACCGGGCGGAGCAGCAGGCACCGGGCCCCGGGCGGGGCGACAGGCACCGGGCCCCGGGCGGGGCGACAGGCACCAGGCCCCCGGGCGGAGCAAGCAGCAGGCCCGGGCCCCCGGGCGGGAGCAGCAGGCACCGGGCCCCCCGGCGGAGCAGCAGGCACCGGGCCCCCGGGCGGAGCAGCAGGCACCGGGCCCCGGGCGGAGCAGCAGCAGGCACCGGGCCCCCGGGCGGGGGTGGCGACAGGCTGCACCGGGCCCCCGGGCGGGGCGACAGGCACCGGGCCCCCGAGGGCGGGGCGACAGGCACCGGGCCCCCGGGCGGGGCAACAGGCACCGGGACCCCCGGGCGGAGCAGCAGGCACCGGGCCCCCGGGGCGGAGCAGCAGGCACCGGGCCCCCGGGCGGAGCAGCAGGCACCGGGCCCCCAGGCGGGGCGACAGGCACCGGGCCCCCAGGCGGGGGCGACAGGCACCGGGCCCCCAGGCGGGGGCGACAGGCACCGGGCCCCCCAGGCGGGGCGACAGGCACCGGGCCCCCAGGCGGGGGCGACAGGCATCGGGCCCCCAGGCGGGGCGACAGGCATCGGGCCCCCAGGAGGGGCGAACAGGCATCGGGCCCCCAGGCGGGGCGACAGGCATCGTGCCCCCAGGCGGGGCGACAGGCATCGTGCCCCCAGGCGGAGCAGCGGGGCGCCGGACCCCCAGGCGGAGCGACAGGTCTCGGGCCCTCAGGCGGAGCGGCGGGCGCCGGACCTCCAGATGGAGCGACAGGTCTCGGGCCCTCAGGCGGAGCGGGCGGGCGCCGGACCCCCAGGTGGAGCAACAGGTCTCGGGCCCTCAGGCGGAGCGGCGGGCGCCGGACCCCCAGGCGGAACGACAGGTCTCGGGCCCTCAGGCGGAGCGGCGGGCGCCGGGACCCCCAGGCGGTAGCGACAGGTCTCGGGCCCTCAGGCGGAGCGGCGGGCGCCGGACCCCCAGGAGGAGCGACAGGTCTCGGGCCCTCAGGCGGAGCGGCGGGCGCCGGACCCCCAGGTGGAGCGACAGGTCTCGGGCCCTCAGGCGGAGCGGCAGGCGCCGGACCCCCAGGCGGGAGCGGCAGGTCTCGGGCCCTCAAGCGGAGAGTGGCAGGTGCCGGACCCCCAGGCGGAGCGGCAGGTCTCGGGCCCCCAGGCGGAGCGGCGGGCACCGCGTCATCTGGCAAGGCAGTGGGCTCCGAGTCAACTGGTATGACCGCGGGCACTGGGTCAGACATTGGATCGTCTGACCGGACAGCGGGCATCGGGTCACCAGGCATCAAGTCATTTGGCTCGACAGCGAGCACCGCGTCATCTGGCAAGGCAGTGGGCTCCGAGTCAACTGGCATGACCGCGGGCACCGGGGGCAGACATTGAATCGTCTGGCTGGACAGCGGGCATCGGGTCACCAGGCATCAGGTCATTTGGCTCGACCGCGGGCACCGCGTCATCTGGCAAGGCAGTGGGCTCCGAGTCAAACTGGTGTATGACCGCGGGCACTGGGTCAGACATTGGATCGTCTGACCGGACAGCGGGCATCGGGTCACCAGGCATCAAGTCATTTGGCTCGACAGCGAGCACCGCGTCTTCTGGCAAGGCAGTGGGCTCCGAGTCAACTGGCATGACCGCGGGCACCGGGGCCAGACATTGAATCGTCTGGCTGGACAGCGGGCATCGGGTCACCAGGTATCCAGGTCATTTGGCTCGACAGCGGGCACCGCGTCATCTTTGCAAGGCAGTGGTCTTCCGAGTCAACAGGCACCGACAGTGGGCACCGGGGTCATCAGGTACCGGATTGTCTGGCTCGACAGCGGGCATCGGGTTCCCCCCCTTATGACAGCGGACCCACTAGGTCACCAGTGCATCAGGTCATTTGGCTCGACAGCGGGCACCCTCATCTGGCAAGGCCAGTGGTCTCCGAACCCCCCCACACACAACAGGCACGACAGTGGGCACCGGGTCATCAGGTACCGGATTGTCTGGCTCGACAGGGGGCATCGGGTCCATCAGGTATGACAGCGGACACTAGGTCACCAGGCATCAGGTCATTTGGCTTGCCAGCGGGCACCGCGTCATCTGGCAAGGCAGTGGGCACCGAGTCACCAGGTACGACAGCGGGGCTCTGAGTCAATTGGCACGACAGCGGGCACCGGATCAGGTACCGGATCATCTGGATCAACGGTGCGGGCATCGAGTCAACTGGCCTAATAGGATCGTCAGGCTGGATCAGTTCATCATGCTGGGTAGAGGCTTCAGCCGAGTAGAGGCATCAGGCCGAGTACAGGCATCAGGCCGAGTACAGGCATCAGGCCGAGTACAGGCATCAGGCCGAGTACAGGCATCAGGCCGAGTAGAGGCTTCAGGCCGCGTAGAGGCTTCAGGCCGAGTACAGGCATCAGGCCGAGTACAGGCATCAGGCCGAGTACAGGCATCAGGCCGAGTACAGGCTTCAGGCCGAGTACAGGCATCAGGCCGAAGTAACAGGCTTCAGGCCAAGTAGAGGCTTCAGGCTGCGTACAGGCATCAGTCCTGAACCACGGAAGGCAGGCTCACCGGTTTGGATACTGGCAGGATGGTATTGGTTGGAAAGAATTTTCGCTTTTTTCTGGTTTTAAACTACTGGAGCACTGCAAGTAAACGCAGGTCTGCAAACGAATGGAGCAGCTGGAGACAGAGAAGAACTGGAGGATGGAACAGGAGAGGGAGCAGTTGCTACAGAGGGCTTTTTTACAGGGTTTAAAGGCAGGATAGGTGCAGCGAGTGGGAACAGGGTACTGACATGCGGTAGATAGCCAAGTATACTGGGCTGTAACTGGTGGAGCTGGTGGGAATACAGGAGTAGAGTTAGAAGCAGGACTGGGTCTTTGTAAGCTGACTGAGGCTGGGTGCAACAAATCTGTCCATGTCTGCAGTATGGGTTGAACAAAGCTGAGCTTACACAAAGTCTGTCTGGTCAATGACTGCACTGCGTTTATACAATCTCTCAGTGTCTGTGGTGAACATGTGGAATAACGCTCCAGAAAGTAAACCCACATCATCCTCTAATAACCACACCAGGGACTCTACCTGGTCTGCACTAAATGGTGGCAAAAATTCATCCCTGCATCGGGGGAAACCAGATGAAACCAACTCAGCACAAACCTCAATCAATGGCTGCACCTCAGAGAACACTGTGCCCTGATCTACTAGAACATGAGCGAGCCGTATACATTCTAGCAATTCATCCCGGGTATACTCCTTCAGAGTTTGATAAGCATACTCCCTGTCATCAAACACTAGCAGATATAAATACTCAACCTCCTCAAGATCCATCCTTCCCATCAACAAGCCAAGATGGCTTCCCTGTGCAGCCACTTCTGGTCAGGATTGGCCTTGGTGTAGTTAGGTCAGGGCTCCCAGGTATGACCAGAGGTGTGTGACTGAAGCAGGGAAACGCAGACCTCAGATATGTTATAAACAATATAATTTATTAACACTAACAGTACAAACATAAACGCAGTGCAATACTAAAACATAATACGGTGCAAACAAACCAAACCAAACCACCCACAGATAACAGTATATACAAGCAAGCGTCGTCAGGCAGGCGGGTCAATATCAATTGGGCAGGTAGGTACAGGGGGAGCAAGCGGAGAATGGTCGGGGTCACAGGCCAGGTTCAGCAGGTAGCAAGCAGCATAGTACAGAGGGTCAGGCAGAGGGATGGTCCGGGTCACAAGCCAGGGATCAGAACAGGTAGCAAGCAGCGTAGTACAGAGGGTCAGACAGAGGGATGGTCAGGGTCACAAGCCAGGATCAGAGCAGGAGAAGTCAGCAAAGGAACAGAAACAGGATGCAGGACAGATACAGGGCCCAGGACAAACACAACACCAAGGCAGAGTCTGCAAGTCTGGCCATCCCTTAAATACCCCAGTATCATCAGTTCCAGGTGTTAGCTGCTGAAAGGTTGAGTCTCTGATTGCTGGGAGCACCCGCTGGCCAGCCCTGGTACTGCAGATCAAAAGGCAGGTGAGTCCCACCATTGCTGGCCAGTCCATCCTAACACAGTGGTTATACAACTAAATATTAAGTGATTGAAAGGAAAGCAAAATCTTCAAACATTTTTTCAGTTTATATAGTGAATATTTGAGTTTGTAAAGAAGAATACAAACACTGCTATTTTTTTGAACAGTCTAATATTCACTTTTTCTTCAAATTTTTTAGAGGAACAACACAAATTTGATCTATTTTTCTTCATGTTTTGATTTGGAATAGAATGTGTAGTGTTCCCAATGCATTTGTGTGTATGGAAATAAAAGCTATTAGAAGGATTTTGAGCTTTATTCACTTTTTTCAACATACTGCTATTATTTTGAACACAACTGTATGTGTGTGGATTTATATCTATGTACATACAGTTGCAAGAAAAAGTATGTGAACCCCTTGGGATTACGTGGAGTTTTGCATGAATTGGGCATAAAATGTGCTCTGAACGTCATCTAAGTCACAACAATAGAAGAACACAGTCTGCTGAACATAATTCTACACAAACATTAGATGTTGCCATGGTTTAATTGCACATAACATGTAAACATTCACAGTGCAGGGAGGAAAAAAAGTATGTGAACCTTTGGACTTAATAACTCTTTGACCCTCCTTTGGCAGCAATAACCTCAATCAAACGTTTCCTGTAGTTGCAGATCAGACCTGCACAACGATCTGGAGTCATTTTGGACCCACTCCTCTTCACAAAACTGTTTCAGTGTAGCAATATTCTTGGGATGTCTGGTGTGAATCGCTCTCTTAAGGTCATGCCACAGCATTTCAATCGGGTTGAGGTCAGGACTCTGACTGGGCCACTCCAGAAGGCGTATTCTGTGCTGTTGCAGCCATTGTTTTGTTGAATTACTTGTATGCTTTGGGTCATTGTCCTGTTGCATCACCCATCCTCTGCGGAGCTTCAGTTGGCGGACAGATGGTCGTATGTTTTCCTGCAAAATGTCTTGATAAACTCTGGAATTCATTTTCCCTCAATGACAAACAATCCGTCCAGGCCCTGAGGCAGCAAAGCAGCCCCAAACCATGATGCTCCCTCCGCCATGTTTTACAGTGGGGATGAGGTTTTGATGTTGGTGTGCTGGGCCTTTTTGTCACCACACATAGTGTTGTGTGTTCTTCCCAAACAACTCAATCTTGGTTCCATCTGTCCACAGTATATTTTGCCAGTAGTGCTGTGGAACATCCAGGTGCTCTTTTGCAAACTTCAAACATGCTGCAATATTCTTTTTGGACAGCAATGGCTTCCTCCGTGGTGTCCTCCCATGTACTCCATTCTTGTTTAATGTTTTCCTTATTGTAGATGTGTCAACAAAAATGTTAGCATGTGCCAGAGATTTCTGTAGGTCTTTAGCTGACACTCTGGGATTCTTCTTTACCTCATGCAGCATTCTGCGCTGTGCTCTTGCAGTCATTTTTACAGGACAACCACGCCTAGGGAGAGTATCAACAGTGCTAAACTTTCTCCATTTGTAGACAGTCTGTCTTACCGTGGACACATGAACATCAGCTTTTGGAGATACTTTTGTAACCCTTTCCAGCTTCATGCAAGTCAACAATTCTTGATCGTAGGTCTTCTGAGAGCTCTTTTCTGCGAGGCATGGTTCACATCAGACAGTGCTTCTTGAAACCAGTAAACCCAAAAACAGGTGTGTTTTTTTTAAGGGCAGGATAGCTGTCAGCAACACATCCAATATCATGACACTGATTGGAGTCAAGGTTGGCTCACTCCTGGCTCCGGCAACATCTAATGATTGTGTAGTATTATGTTCAGCAGACTGTGTTCTTCTATTGTTGTGACTTAGATGACGTTCAGAGCACATTTTATGCCCAATTCATGCAAAACTCCACGTAATCCCAAGGGGTTCACATACTTTTTCTTGCAACTGTATATATATATATATATATATATTAGATATTCTTTATTGTGTTTTATTGTTCATCCAATATCCATTGGCATCATGCATTTTACATATTTATTGTACTTAATTTTATGCATATATATATTTTTTTATGTGGTTTTATGAATATGATAGGTTCTTGGATGTGGGAGTTATGTCCTCAGTGCTTGGCTACCTTATGTTTTCATTGGCACTTCATTTATACTAAACATAGATATTGCCACTATTTACATGTATATACTATTATACATGTGTATATATAAAATTACTCAGGTATTTTTATCCATCTATTTATTTATTTATTAATTATCTAATTAGTATGTATTATTACATTTTCCATTACTCTTCTTCATTTGTGTGAGCTAGTGCCCTCTAATATCGCCCCATTGATTAGGCACAGTTGAGGCTAGTTAGCCTTCTGAACTGAGAGAGCTCTCCTGAATATTTGCTTCTGCCTGAGCCCTGTTAGTGTGCGGGCTGGCAGAGAAACTAGGACCCTGTTAAGATGGAGCGGCGCTGCTTCACGCGTGCGCATTGGCCATCTGATATGCGCTTATGTGATCACG